CCCCCCCGAGGGCCCCGGTAGTGTCTGATGTTTAAGAGTGAGTGAGTGAGCTGACAATAAGTGTCAGTCTGGTGGTGCCCAGACATGGACCACGTCCTGGGGTGGCTGAAGAGGGGCAGCTGACGGGGGGCCGGGTGGGCAGCGTGACGGGGGGGCAGCATGATGGGGGGGCAGTGTGACTGGGGGACAGTGTGAGCGGGGCGGGGCAGCATGCGGGGCGGGCAGGGGACCCAGACACCGCCCCCGCTGGGCAGTCAGTGGGCGGCGAGGCAGCAGAGGCCTTGCGGGGCGGCCAAGGTGCTGGGAGGACCCGGTGCCCTTCGCCCGCTCTGAGCCTGCAGCTCGCCAGCCCCGGCCGGGTATTTTTAGCACCAGGCGCCCTGCATGGCTGGGTGACTCTGACCAAATTTAGCAATCTCAGAGGTCTCGGCAGTCCCTACCCCTGGTAGCAGTCGAGTTAGTAGGCCCGGCGCCATCCGGCTGAGGCAGGGCTGGGGGCGACAGCGAGGCAGGGCAGCGTTGCGGGGCCCACGGTCTCCACAGGGGCGAAGCGCCCAGCCCACGCGGCGCGTCCGGGCTGGTGACCAGGCGGCCACGGGTGGCCAGGCAGCCGCCCACGATGTGCTGCGTGGGGTTTCAGGGGGGTGAGGGCTGGGATGAGCAGCCCCACCCCCGTCAGACCTTGACCTGACTGTCTGACCCCAGTACCCTAAAATTTGAAAACCTCGAGCACCCAGAGTTTAAACGTGCCACAGTGGAAAGCCCCAAGCTGAGCACTCGAGGGATTTGTGTGCGGCGAGGGCGTCGGAGGCTGCGGGGAGGGGCGCGGGGCCGCCCACCGCCCTCTGCCAGGGGACGCGCTGCACGGGGAGGCCTGTGCGCCCCACGGCGCCCTGGCAGCTGCAGCCGGGGGGTCGGGCAGCCCAGGCCTCGCCCTGAGCGGAGGCTGAGGAGCCCGGCGGGGTCTTCTCTGTCCTGCTCATGTAAGAGGCTGGAAGCATCTTCAGGGCCACCACACGCTTTCTCTCCTGTGGTCTCCCCAGTGCCTAGCAAGCGCCTTCGGCGACAGTGTGTTGACTGACCTGAGGAAGTCGGGTCCACAAGGCCCCTGCGGGCGAGGCTGGCCTGAGCCGGCTTCTGCCGCTCACACCTGCACGTGTCCTGGCATCAGCTCCGGCGCAGTGCCCGCCCCCAGCCAGGGCTGCAGGGCAGGAGCGGTCACAGCCTGCAGAGAGGTCTGCCCTCCCGGCGACCCAGGGCCAGGGGCTCGGGCTGGAGCACACTTCTGGGCAGCCTGCAGCTCTGCGGGATGGTCTCGGCACGGTGAGCACGCACTGGCACGGCCTCCGCGGTCCAGGGGAGGACGCCTCTCAACATTAGAAAGCAAAAACTAAGGTGGCCAGGCAAAGCCACAGCAGCAAAGCCCGCAGCACTTCTCTCTGAGCCACCGCAAAGAACAAATGGAGAGAAGTCGGTAGGCATGGAGAAGGGGCTTCGCGCCACCACGCGCTCAGGGGAGTGTCCAAGCCTCTACTTGAGGAAAGGAGGAGGACGGGGACTTCCCGCTCAAGAACGAAATGGTCAAGAGCAGAAATCGACGCAGTCACGGTCAGAAAGCGCAGGCGCTCGGGTCCTGAGGCACAAAGTTCGGTGTTGGAGAACCCGGGCGTGCTGGTGAACGTCAGCCAGGCTGGCCGGACAAGCGCTCTTCCCTGAGGCCGCAGGCGCGACGTGGGCGGCCCGGAGCCCCAGCGACAAGCCTGGGCCCGAGGGGCCGCGCGTGCGGCCCAGGCCGGCGGCACCCCAACACCAAGAGGGGCCCCGGACACACGACTCCGAGCCAGGGTCGCCCGAAGCGAAAATGAGAGTCCGCAAGAAAAAGGGTAAAATAATAAAGATCAGAACATGCAGTTATCTGACTTAAAATTATACTGCCCCATACACTTATATAATGTCAAATACTCACTCTGCTACACAGTGAGTTATAATGCAAAATCATATAATCTAAAATCATAACATTGCCAGTCGAGACCGACAATAAAAGAAAAGGCCCACGAGCTGCATCCTGGGCCACGGGGCTGGTGGAAGGAGGGCGGGTGCGTCAGCGACACTCATGGGAGCCACGGACCACAGGTGTCATCGACCATCCCGGGGAGGAAAAGTACCCGACAGGTTTCCACAGCCGTTAAAGGTAAACTCTGGGCAAGCAGGTAGAAGAAAGAAACTCCAGTACAGGGCAGCGACATCACACTGAAAGGCAAAGCTGGTGGCCTCCCCCCCCCCCCAGGGGGAGCGGGAGAGAGGCGGAGGGGCGGCTGGGGCTCCCGGTCGCCGTGGCCGAGCCCCAGTAGCGCAGCGGGTGAGGAGCCGGCCGGCTGCGGCCTGACCGTCTGCCTGGCGGAGGCCAGGAACCCGACCAAGCGCCAGAGTCACAGCATGGGAGCCTGGAGGCTGCAGGAAGGGGGGGGCACGCGGGGCTCCCCTGACCTGGCAGCGAACAACGGGGAAGCTGAAATTTAAGAAAAAGCACAACGGACAATAGCAAACACCCCACCGCCCCGAGAAAAGCCCACGAAACACTTTAACGCTTCATAGAACCGCGACAGCTGAGTAGGACGTGCGGCCTGAAAACCCCGAAACGAGGAAGGGCCCAAGGGGGCCGGTGGCCGAGGGAGGGCCCAAGGGGGCCGGTGGCCGAGGGAGAGGCCTCGCGCTGGTGCAAGGGCCGCCCGCTCGAGGACCTGAAACTCTTCAGGCAAACAGGAAGGAAAACCAGGCCGCCTGGAGAGGAGCAGTGTCGGTACTGTGGTCTGAAGTGCTCTGGGTGACAGGGCAGGCAGAGCGCACCCCAGAACCCCCAAACCTGCCCAGGCTAAGTAGGCTCTGCCCGCCGCAGCATCAAGACAGAGCTCGCCCTGGCGGCCAGCCCTCCAGCGGGGCAGTCACGCCAGGCGCAGCCCAGCCCAGCCCAGCGCACAGTGTGGCTTCCGGAGCGGCACCTACCGCCCGTCCCCTCGGGCACGCGCCCCGCCAGGCAGGGTTGGCCAAAGCAGGGCCACTGAGGCCCGAGAGCTGCCACCGCCTGGGCCGTCCTGGCGGGGGCAACGGGCAGAAGGGGCCCGGCCAGCCTGGGACAGGACAGGCGCCGCCACCGTCCCCTCCCCGCGCCCAGTCCCGGCCAGCTGCCAGCCCCACCTGCCTCTGCCCACGCGGCTGGTCTCCTGGCCCCGGCCTCTCCCTGCTTCCCAGCCTCCCTCAGCTTCCTCTCCCCTCCCCGCAGGGC